GAGGTTTCTGGAAGAGGAGGACAAGAAAAAGAGCATAAGCACTGAAGTTTTAAACCTCACCAAAGAATTAGAGGTCACCAAGCGCTACAGCCGAACTCTGCGGCCCATTACCAAAGGAAGCCGAATGATGGACGTTCCAGTGACATCGACTGGAATACAAACCGATTCGGTGGAAAATAGGACAGCTGACGTTGACACTCCTGCTGCATTCATCAAGAAGTCTGTCCAAGAAGAGAACCGGATCATGAGTAGTCTTCAGCAGAGGAGCTTAAAGAAGCCGGCGCAGAGACCGACAGTCCGTGAACTCTACCCTCCAACAGTCAGTGACTTTACTGTGAAGAAGTCCTGGATTCCTTGGATGAGGAAGAAGGACAGCAGTGCTTCCGAAATATCCTCGGATACCAGTGGGGAGGTTGCATCTTCTGAGGTCAACATGTCCCAAAAGCATAACCATCCATTGCACTCTCAGGTGATCCCAGATGTTCTCAACAACGAGGCAACTTTACAGATTTGCATTGCCAACTCAGAGGACTTGACCAAACAAGCTTCTGCCAAACCATCACAAGAAATTCAGACAACCATCATTCCTACAAATGAACGAACCAAAGAGACAAAGAACCCAGAAAGAGTTCGATCTCCAATGACCTTTGCAACCATCTCAAGAGTAAAGAGTGCAGAGATCATGAGGTCTCCTTCTATGGACAAATCACCCATATCCACTGCATCCAACAGCAGCTCCCAGGAGGACATGATAACAGGCCGAGCTGTGTTTAGGGAGACTCCTGAGAAACGGATGGTCCCCACACCCATCAAGAAGTCAAATGCTAATGTCATTTCCACAGAAGACAGTAAGATTCACATTCACTCAGGAGCACAGTTTAAGAAGACCAACGATCATGGCTCAGCTGTCATGGTCAAATCTATTTCTGTATCATCTGAGAGTAAGGAGGTTTCTACTGGAACTGTGCTACGCTCGCCACACCATGTGACTGCCAGCAAATCAACATCCAGCAAAGCGATAAGTAGCATCACCATCACCCAGGTCACTAAAGCACCAGCCAGACCTACACTCTCAGTGGTAAGTGTCTAATATAATATATGCAGGAATATGGCAAAACAATAAGCCAAGCCAAGAAAGACCTTATTCAGGGTTGACATATGTGACCCTGGGCCACAAAACCAGTCACATGGGTAAAAAACTTTAAATTTGAGATTTATACATCATCTGAAAGCTGAATTGCTTTCCATTGATGTATTTGTATGGTTTGTTAGGATAGGACAATATTTGGCCGAGATACAACTATTTGAAGATCTGGAATCTGAGGGTGCAAAAAAAAAAATCGAAACATTGAGAAAATCGCCTTTAAAGTTGTCCATTTATGTTCGCGATTGTGCTGCATACACTCACAAAAATAAATGTTTTATATATTTACGGTAGGAAATTTACAAAATATCTCGGTAACGCTTCCTTTTACAGTACAGTACTTACGTGTACTTACAGTGTACTTACCTAGAAAGTACTGGCTAATATAAGGTAAGTACATGGGTTAGGGGTAGGTTCAGGGTTAGTACCTAGTTATTACCCAGTAATTGTAATTACTATAATAAGTACATAGTATGTACATGGGTAACAGGACTGTAAAAGGAAGCGTTACCAATATCTTCATGGAACATGATCTTAATATCCTAATGATTTTTGGCATTAAAGAAAAGAAAAATCGATCATTTTGACTATTGGCTATTGCCACAAATATACCCGTGCGACTTGTCACTGGTTTTGTGATCCAGGGTCACAAATATGTTGCAGGTTCTTCGATTAAATCAGTCTGTGCGATGAATATATTTACCACTGTAGCACACGTGCAATACAGTTTAACATGCAAGACAGAACTTGTTTGTGTGAAGTGAGAATTAGTGTAGTGCATGTGTGAGGTTAGGGCTGCATGATTGACTGATATTAAACCAAATTAGCAATTTGGATTAGTGAGATTATGAAATTGCAAAGGCTTAAATGTTTAAATAAATAGATATATGTGCAGATGAAGCACAGCACTGTTCATAGCGGATCGATCGGTTCCCAGTAAATGTTGCTCCATCTCTGCAAGCGCTGTGTGTGAGATTGAGTCATTTACAGTATGACATGCATTTAAAAAAAGTAAGGCGCCAAACATCTTCACACACTTCTAATGAGAAGTGTTTACAAACCTTGTTGTCCAACAAAAGAGAACATTGAATAGAGTGTTTGAAATAACTTACTTTTGTGATCTGATGTGCTTCAGCTCACAGAATGAGGCAGCAATTATATTATTTTAGAATATTCTGTATAGTGATACAGGCTACGTCGATTAGCATTGCATTATAAATATACTTTCATGTTTCATCAGTCAAAACGTCTCTATGTGTTACAGTGCAAGCTTGATGCCTAAGTTTGTCCACATAAGAGATTTCCTGGAACATCATAAGATTTATTACTTCTATGAGTCTCACTTGTGGACTTTCTGCGCGAGGGCGCCATCTGGCTACGAGTGTGAATGAAACAGACATTACATTACGTGTTTACTCAGTAATGCTCTCAAAACCCTATTTTGGATTGAAAAATAGGAAAGACAGAATTGTTTCTCCAGTGTAGAGAAGTGTACAGTAGTTGTTGTCTCTCTCAGTGGATGCATATGATTTCCTGACCAAAATTAAGAAATTAAGTCACAGATATTTTCATTAAATCATGTTTCTTCTGTCTCTGTAACTCAACAGCAGCCTGTCATGGATGCCCCATCAGCGCGGTCGGGGTTCAGTCGTATTCCAATGTCCCGGGGGATGAAAACGGGTAAAGCTGTGCTTGGAGCTTTGGGAATCTCCACAGGAGTTAAAGTGGAAGCAAATGCAGAGAACCAGGCCATGAACATTGACCTTAAAAAATCCACTGTCAGTAATGGAGCGTTACAGGCTGGAGGGAAAGGCTGAGGGTACTGAACAAATTATAAACACGTTTAAATTTAAGTCTACTGCCAAAAAAAATGAATTATTTTCAATTACCACTTTCTGCAATTGGTACGTGTTGGTACGTAAGGAGGACACTGATTTTTCTTGCCCTCCATCTAGGAGGCATGTTTGCCAAAATGTTAGCCTTTACTGCAGGACAATGGAGCGCTGCAGTGATGATACGCAGGCCAACCTGGAAGTTAGTATCAGCACCCTACAAAAACACAATAGGACTCACTCCATTGGCTTTTGGATTACTACAGAAAATAAACTCTGTGACCAACAAAGGTTTATGATACCTGCATGTTTTTTGTAGTGACCAGATGAGTTTACCTGTTTGACGTGATGACATTTAATGTGCCTGACAACCTCTAGAGTCCCATTTAGCCACTTTTTAGCAACCGCCTATTAAAGTAAAAGTACAAGCTTTAAGAAAAATCACAAGGAGGCATTACTGATGTATTTTATATTGTAGATCATATCTTGAGCTTGTGTTCTCCACAGACCTTATTTCAGGCATTAAAAAAAAAAAACTTTGACTTTAGGACGATGGATCCGGAAGTGCTATAATGCTAACTTGTTTTTTGGGTTGTGCCCACACAAATATATATGTATCATCCCTGCAGCACTCTATATCCTGTATAGTATGGGGAAGTCAGTGGGTCAGTGTTTGGTCTTCTGATGAAGCTACTTACTGTATAAATTGCAAAAATGCAATATTATAATAATAGTTTTACCAGTGTCTTTTTTTTTTGGAGGCTCATAAATGCATTAACAGGAAAGTCACTAGTGAAATGTTTGGGACTTTACACAGTCAGCAAATATGTGCGGGAAGTTCATATTTTCGAGTCGTGTTTATGAAATCAGGTGCGTTCAAGTAACTTTCGTCAGAGCAAGATGGCGGTGTACTTTCTTTTAATTAACTACACAAAAATACTGCAAGTTTTTTTTACCTCTACTTCAGGAAATGAAGAACAAAGATTGTGCATCATGTGTGTTTTGCTTTTTTATGTTTTTAATTAATTTATGAAGCCACTGTAGATTTTAATGTTTCATATAATGTTGTGCAGGCAATTAGCTTATTTTGTTGTAAATAAAAAAAGCCTGAAAATATCACTGCTAAATAAGTATTGTGATATTCTGCCATGTTTCTCACTGACACGACCCCAACTTGTAAACTCAGGGCTTAAAGATAAACCTAAATTTCCTACTGGTATTTATGACTTTGTGGTGGCGTTCTTGTACGTTCAACTTGTAAATACGATCTTACCGACATGACTTGATCAAACCATGAGTGCCCATCATGAGCAAAGATGGCAGCATGGAGGTCATGTATGCTAACGATGCTAACAGACAAGCTATCGGTTCTCTTCGCAACAGATTGAAAGAATATTTATTAAGGAAAAAATACATATCAAATTAAATAAAGCTGTTATCAAATGAAAACGTGTGATATCTGCTAAACTATGTATCTTTATAGTGTTGTTTATGATTTAAATAGTGTTTACTTAGCATTCTCTGGAATGTTTATATCAGACCAATCACTCTGTCTTTAATGTTGTTGTGAATCGAAATGCATTGATAAGAGTTTCACCAAAAAGCACATCTGTAATGTAATATATTTTTATTATTGTTTCTAAGTAAAAATGTTTTGATATGATATGATATGATCAAATATGCCATGTATTTCTTTCGTTCCGCGTACTAGAAGTGAATGAAACACTTTGAATAAGAAAAAAATGCATAGGCTATATAAAAAAAAAAAAAAAACTTCAATTCTTATTATTAGAATGTTAATGCTGATTAAAATACTGTATCTAGATAAGACGATTGTTATTACTGTATTTCAGTGATGAGAAAGATAATATTTTTAATTTAGATATGATAAACTGAGGGGAGGGGTGTGGGTTGGTGACGTCACGACGGCACTCTCCGTCTATTGGCTGCTGTACTTCCGTGTTTACCGTCTTGTCCGTGTTCAATAAGCGCTAACGGAAATAATCATCATTGCTGTGTAATGACGCGTTCACTGTGCGATCAACTCAAGTGACAGCAGCGATATAATACACACAACTGTCCATCGAGGCAACATATTTGAGGTTATCGTGTAGTGCGCTCGCTATCCGCTCGTCTTTACCGGATTAAAGAGCGATGATGGCGTCCAGCTATAACGCAAAGGATGAGGACGGTCTCCATCCGGGATCGGTGGGCTCCGGGGGCCCGGGATCCGTCAAGAGCAAGAAGCCCGATAACACGGCCTTTAAACAGCAGCGTTTGCCCGCCTGGCAGCCCATCCTGACCGCGGGCACCGTCCTGCCAGCCTTCTTCATGATCGGACTCATCTTCATCCCCATCGGCATCGGACTCTTCGTCACCTCTAACAACATCAAAGAGTTCGAGGTGCGTAACGTCACCATAGCAACATCATCATGTTGATTGAAGAGGTTTATTAATGCTCTGTATTATTGATGTTGTCAGGTATCTGGTATCAGTGTTGTTTTGTACTGGTTCTGTGTGTTGTAGATCGACTACACTGGTGTCGACATGTCCAGTCCGTGTTATAACTGCGCGCAGAACTACAGCTGGAACAGCACTAGTGTGTGTACCTGCTCGGTGCCCTTCACCCTGGACCAGCACTTCGACGTAAATACCTTCTTCATCTCTCATCCTAACACTTAGAAAAAAAATTAGCAAAGCCTTAAAAGGATTAGTTCACTGTTATTGATACAGTTAATGATATGTTTCCACATGTGCACCGTAATAAATTAGAAGTATACATGATTATATGTAGAAATATATTGGTTTGTTGTGGACATACACGTGTTAAAGGGTTAGTTCACCCCAAAATGAAAATTATCCAATGATTTATTCACCCTCAAGCCTTCCTAGGTGTATGACATACTTATTTCAGCCGAACACAATCAGAGTTAATTAAAAGAATATCCTGGCTCTTCCAAGCTTTATAATGGGAGTGAATGGCACATCCATCCAAAGAAGCACATCCATCCATCATAAAAGTAATCCATACGATACCAGGGGGTTAATAAAGGCCTTCTGAAGCGAAGCCATGGGTTTTTTTAAGAAAAATAACTATAATCACCGGCGTCTGGTAACGGGCGTACGAGTCTACTTCAGACAGAAGAGTGACCTCTGACCCGACGCATGACATATTGGCAAAAGCGCAGAGGGTCGAGCAAAACAAAACACCGGTCAAGAATTAGAAGTCGAAAACGAGAATTTTTAAAGAGGAATCTAACCCTTTAAACACTTCCTGAAGATCAGATCTCTATTGAAGCTTGTTTCCGCAGATAATAAAAAAGAATAAAACAGAAAAAAGGTATTGCGACTTTTTCATCTCACAATTCTATTTTTTTCCTTACAATTGCGATTTTATATCTCACAGTCCTGACTTTTGACTCAGCAAGGTATACACTGAGTTGTTAACTTTCAGTTGTGAGATGTATTTGAAGGAAAAAAGTCATATTTGTGAGATGTAAATGTGCAATTGTGAGATTATAACTTGCAATTCTCAGGAAAAACAAGTTTATAACTTGTATGTAAACTCTAATGACGCACCGATTTGAACATTTTGGCAGATACCCATAACCAATAACTCTTTATATTTGAAAGCTGATAACAGATATATTGGCCGATAAATCTAAATTTAAATTTTTATATAATTTTGAGAGCCTGATAACAAAAAACAGACGCCTCACCTTTAAAAGCCATATTCCACACATTTCAACATAAATCAAACATATACAGTACAGTAGCCTAGTTTGACCCAGTGTAAGTTTTAAAATTAATTTATATATAACAAAAAATCTATTGCCTTAGAAATGAATGAAATAATGCCTAAATAATGCAAACAACTCATTGGACAACATTACTTGCTTATTAAGAATCAAAATGCCTCTGCCATGGATAAATAAAATGGAATCGCCTCCGCACGGACAATAATTAAATTATTTAAAAAATTTAATTAAACCATATTGTTGTTGATGAAAATAAAGCAAGAACAATAAAAGTTCTAGTTATTTTAATAATGCACCAATGTTTTTGAAAAAGAAACATCTACAATTTAATATAACTGTTTCAAGTAACAGAATTGCAATATTTTATTACAATAGTGTTCTCTTTATAATGTTATGCACATGACAGTCCAATCATAGTTATTAATGTTGTGCGATGCTGAACACCGGGAAACTCAAGGACTTGTTAGCGGGTTCATTAACTCAATGAAATGCATCCTTCATGAGATTATTCAGATATTTATGCCACATAAACAGTCCCAGCATTGCTGTTTGACCCACATGCACTGAAGCTAAAGATGATCACCATCCAATCATATTCAAGCCATTCAAAACTACCATGGCGAATTCGAAGCATCTCAGCTGAAGGAAATACTCCATTATTTATGGGCATTAATATATCGTCCTAAATTTCTTGACAGGTCGATAACATTAAAAATGAACATATCTCGGCTGACACCGCCGATATGGTGGCCGATATTATATTGTGCATCCCTAATAAACTCACAATTATGAGAAAAAAGCAATAATTGTGAGATAAAATTTCTTTCATTTTTTTATTTCCTGGTGGAAACAAGCTTCCATATATCTCAGTGCAAGAGCTATAACTAGATAAAGAACAACATTTTACAAATAACAAAAAAATCAAGAAGGAATGTCTTTGACTTCAGTTTCTGGTTTGACCAACTTGAGCAGCGATAACTTTAACCAAACGCTTCCTTAGACTGTGGATCAGTCCAGCTCGGCCTGGAGGAACTTTGGCTTATATTTAAGCCAATTTTTAATACATTAGGTACTTCGAATAAGCACTTTGCCTCGCTTATTCCGAAACTATTACATTTCTGCTCATTTCAGTGATGGCAAACCATCCTGCTTCATAACTACCAACACAGCCTTTATACTAGGGATGGGCGTATCGATACAAAGTATCGGTATATCGATACTGACGTCGAGTATCGAAAGTATCGATACTCAAATAAAAATATCGATACTACAGTTTTTTTTTTTTTTTTACCAGTGATTTTGTTTATTTGACAAGAAGTTTAATGTGTACAATATGCATTGAATTGTATGAATAACCTGTTTAGTAAATAATTGTGTAGTATAACTATTTTATAGCTTATCTGAACACACGCAAATGCTGCAAGTCAGAAGCAATCAATCACAGAGAGCGTTCACAACGCTAAACAGAAGACAAAAAACTACATAGTTTGCGCAAATAAATAATTTTTTGAACGTTAAAAGTTCATAGTTCTATTCTGTAACTAATTTTAATATAAATCATACACTGTCAGAATAAAAAGGTTACATTTTCATGGGTGCAACAACCGGTCACTGGCAGTCCCTTATGAAAATTAACATTACAGTGATCATAGTTCAACTTGGCCTATAATATTTGGCAGATTTCCATGGTTACCACTACAAGTAAACATTGTAACCACGTGTAAATAAAAATACAATCTAATAAGTTCCAATTAAGGCGTATTGAATGTTGAAATGCCTTTAAAATATAATGTTAAGTCGGTATCATTACCCATTTTAATCTTAGCAATTCAATAATTTAAGAAATTTTCGATATCGGCGATACTGGCCTTGAAAGTATCGGTATCGTATCGAAACCAAAATAAGTGGTATCGCCCATCCCTTCTTTATACTTCCAGCACTGTGCTTTACAATTCATGTGAGGGTCTCTTATGCTCACCAAGGCTGCATTTATTTAAAACTATTATTAGAAAATATTTTATTTGATATATCAAACCAAATTTGCCGCATACCTAAAATCCATACTGTTGGAACAGAGGCGGTTTGGATATATTTATCTGTAGGTCCATTAAGCTACAATATTTAGTGTCTGTGAACTGTATAGTGGTGAAATAAATGGCCTAAAGTGGCATTAGTTCTCATGTATTATGCATTTAGAGGACAGTTTATTGATCGTACCTTTGAATAGTTTAAAATAGAATAGTTTCCCGCTCCTAAAACAACAGGTTTCGGATCAATTACGTATAAAATGCCAGTGAATAACATTGAAATAGCCCTCGTACAAAAGGTGTCGTGGTTTGCCACTGTATGGCTTTATATCCTCTGACATCTTTTCTTTTGTAGAGTAATGTGTTCATGTACTACGGACTCTCCAACTTCTATCAAAACCATAGACGTTATGTCAAGTCCAGAGACGACAGTCAGCTGAACGGAGATAAAAGCTCTTTACTGGTGAGTGCTTCGAGAATCTTCTTGATGACTGATAAAAGTAAAGTATTTCCTGGCATTTAGCCTAGTTTTAAATGTTTATAAAGTAGTGCTGGGCAACGATTAGCCTAATCGCATCCAAAATAAAAGTTTGTGTTTACATAATTATGTTTGTGTACTGTGTATAATATAAATACACACACATGCATGTATATATTTAAGAAAAATGTGTTATTTATATAACATATTTATATTTATATATAATATATTTGATGTATAAATATATATACAGTATGCAAATAGTTCTGTGTAGAATTATTTTGTATATATAAATACACACATATGCATGTATATATTTAAGAAATATTTGCATGTACACAGGTGAAACTCGAAAAATTTGAATATTGTGCAAAAGTTCATTTATTTCAGTAATTAAAATAAATTAAAAGGTGAAACTAATATATAAGCGGACTCATTACATGCAAAGTGAGATATTTCAAGCCTTTATTTGTTATAATTTTGATGATTATGGCTTACAGCTTATGAAAACCCCATATTCAAAATTAGAATATTTCATGAAATCAATAAAAAAAAAAAATATTTAAATACAGAAATGTCGGCATATGTACTCAGTACTTGGTTTGGGCCGCTTTTGCGCTTTTCCATTGATGCTATCAGCAAAATATTCACATTTTTTGAGTTTCACCTGTATATACTGTATATTTATACATAATTTATATTCTATATAACTATGAATATTTGAAATATAAATAACACATTTTTCTTAAATGTATACATGCATGTGTGTGTATTTATAATATATACAAAATAATTATACACAGTACACACACATATATTATGTAAACACAAACTTTTATTTTGGATGCGATTAATCGTTGCCCAGCACTATTATAAAGATACAGTTCTGCTGAACTTCATGAATGTGCTTTTTATGAAAGGCTCAATATGTTATGTCTTTATTTGCTTTTAGTTTCATTAAACAGCCTTGATGCCAGACATGACAAGCGAATGCCTAATAATTAGAAACCTCCATGGAATGAAAGCACGGTATGTCATATAGGTTTATGCTATACTACTTTTAAGTGTTCAAGTCTTTGTTGTGCAGAACCCAAGTAAAGAGTGTGAACCGTATCGAACAAGCGAGAAGAAGCCCATTGCTCCCTGCGGTGCCATTGCGAACAGTCTCTTCAATGGTAAGACAGATTTGTGTGAGGTCAGTGACCACCAGTGATTAGCTTATGGCTCAAACAAATACACTTGTGTTTATTTTAAAACATGTACTTATAACACTGTGTACAAATGTGCAAACTGTTGATATTACAATTTTGATTTAGCCAGAGATTTGATATGTATTGCAAACATTTAGGCTCTTTATGCCCATGATGCTGATTTCTGTGTAAAATATTTGATCTCTGCAGCCTTGCACCATGTGCATATGAGCCTTGAAATAAATATTCACTGCTTACACAAGCTGCGTGAAACAGACCTGAGGGCTTTCTGACAGCTTTCTGTAATCCGTTTGATATTTGCAGATACTTTGGAGCTGTTTTACCTCCATCCCAACGGAAGCCGAATAGCTATTCATCTGGTGAAGACGGGCATTGCTTGGTGGACGGACAAACATGTGAAGTTCAGAAACCCAGGAGGAAGCAACAGCAACCTCTCCGTTGTGTTCCAAGGTACACAAAGCCCAACCCTATAAAGCCTACAACATGATCACAACTTTGCTGAAAAACCTGTTGCACACAATCTACTACAGTCCTTCTGTCTCTGATTGATAGTGTAGACTTTTTCAGCAAGTAAAAGGTCTTTTAGGGCGTTTTCACACTTGAAAGTCCGCACCAAGGTCCGAACCAAAGTTCACGTTTTGATACATTTTACTTTCAGAAAGTTTTGGTTTGGTTTCACACTGCAATTATGCGAGCGCACTAAAGAACTTTACGTGACTTACTTGCGTCCTGTCGTCATCATCTATGTGGGCTGCATCTTGACATTAATTGGTTTGTAAATGGACGTGCGTCTGACATCAGCGTGTTGTCAATTCGGCGGGTAACTTTGACAACATGAATGAACAGAGCATTTCATTGCAACTATATTGTTATTTTTATGGCATAATTACCTGCAGCACCAACTATACACAAGGCTAGTTCAAATTCGCCAAATGAACGTCCTCGTCGTGCGAACATTTCTCCTGCCACCTTCAGTTTTTTTCGGCTATGCGGGAACCACCGGAACTTCCAGTAAAAGGTCTGAAAGTCCGAACCATACAGAAATGCTTTCACACTAGAAACGAACCAAACCTTTGTTCAGTTTGATCCGGACCGAGGCTACCTCTTTTCGTCGGACCAAATTTCATCTGTTTGGTCCGGACCGTGGTCCGGGTTAGGTTTCACACCTGTAATTTTGATTCGGACCAAACTGAGAAGTCCGAAAGTCCGGACCAAACAAGGTAGGTGTGAAAGGGCCCTTAGTTTAATTGAATAAACTTTTCCCTTCAGCTCGTGTCTTTATGCTGTGAAATCTGCACTGATTTTTATAAAGTAAACATAACTTTTATATTGTTAGTAATTAGGGCTGTCAGTTAAACGCGTTATTAACGGCGTTAACGCAAACCCATTTTAACGGCGTCAATTTTTTTATCGCAGTCTTTTTGGCCTAGCAAACTTTGTCGTTTTTTTCACATGCTTTTGCAACAGGACGCGGCATGCGCGGCGCTGCGCTATGAAACCCGTTCATTTCAATGGCTTGCGCCGCGCGAGGACGTTTTGTTGCTTCGTCGACCAAAGCGCAAGCGGTTCTAGCTAGACCGGAAACAAAACAACAGGCACGACGCCGCACACACTCGTTTGGGCTTGCGACCCGGCCAAATAGTAGGCTAACGTTACGTTTTGAGTGGATGACGAGCGCGAGACGCCGAATGGATGCCAATAAGATTCTGAATGGAAAGTTTACTTTTAAAATGTTGCCAAATGGTTCCACTGACGAGACCAAAGTGATCTGTGTGTTTAGTCGTTGTGAACTGAGCTATCATCATCGCAGCACGTCCAGTCTGAAATACCACTTGATGATGGCCAAGCACACACACACACGCACACACACACACACACACACACACACAGCTGATGCGAATTCTCCGCCCCCTCGTCAATATCAGGACCTCGTCAGTATTTCTTTCACCCTTTTATTGATGGCCAGTGTTACATTGTGTGAGAGATTATTTGCTCCAAGTAAGAATGTTTTAGTGTGAAATTGAACACAGTATATGTCAATGTTGTTTTCAATAAAAAACATTTGCACAAAGCAAGCCGATCCACTTTTCCATGTTGATAAGAGCATTAAAATGAGAAAAAACTAATGGGACAAAAAGAAATCAAGAGACATTTAGAATAGATAAAATGTGCGATTAATTGCGATTAATCGCGAGTTAACTATGACATTAATCGTGATTAAATATTTTAATCGTTTGACAGCACTATTAGTAATGTTTCAAGACAAACACTTACTGGACTATTTTGCCTGGAAGGGAAAAAACACATTGCTGTGATCAGAGCAATATGACTATATCTCTACATCACTGGATGTTTGTAATGTTGGTATAAGCGGTCATTATAAAATGGCCTCTGTTTTTAAAGTTTCGCTGTATTCTTGCTAACCAGCGTTATTCGTCCTCACAGAAACAAGCAAACCCGTAAACTGGCGCAAACCCGTTTATGAGTTGGACCCGACGGACGCTGAGAACAACGGTTTCATCAATGAGGATTTCATCGTGTGGATGAGAACCGCTGCGCTCCCCACCTTCAGAAAACTGTACCGCATCATTCAGAAGAAGAAGGACAACATGACTCCAACATTACCGCCTGGAAACTACAGCCTGGAAGTCACCTACAGTATCCTTCAGAACTGGACAGGAAAATACTGTTTCAGTCTTTCAACCTCCAATTTGTTTTCATTGTACAGGGTCTGTGAGATTAAAACCAGCATTTGCATTCATAATTTGAAGGTAGGGTAGGCAATTGCAGAGAGATTAGCAATAGCAATTTAGCTTTGAAAGCATGAGATCCCACCCTCCCTTCAGAGCAGAGCCACGTCTCCTCCGAAACACAGCAGATTCTGCAAAGCATCACGAGAGACAGCGTTAAATCACCTCATGTCTCAAAGCACATAACAATAATAATGAACATAAACAACTCACAGAGCTCTTACTTGTACCACCTGACTGCTGCAGATTCATTTCGGCGTTGATAGTGAAACATAAATCCGAGTCTGAGGACGTGAACGGCTCCAGGTGGAACGTCACGTGTTTTGTAACGGTTACGACATGGCATGAACGCAGCATCAGCTCGTTGTTTTGGTTCAGGAGGAACTGTTATAGGTGGCTGTCTGTTTTGGACCGAATGCAATGATTGGACGAATGTTTTTTGGTCCTGAGTCGTCCACAGAAGATATATGTACATGTTTTAATATTTAGACCACTTCTATTATTGATTGCTATCAGGATGTGAAGAGAGTTTCAACCAGTATAACAAAAAGTGTTTATTAAAACAAATAGCCTACCTTTAAAGGGTTAGTTCACCCAAAAATGAAAATTCTGTCAGTAATTACTCACCCTCTTGTTGTTCCAACCCCAGTAAGACTTTCGTTCATCTTCGGAACACAAATTAAGATATTTTTGATTAAATCTGAGAGCTGGATCACTCCTCCATAGGCTTCTTAAGGGATCGAAACTGGCCGGCCCAAAAGTTATGAAAGACATCGTTAAAATAGTCCGAGTGACTACAGCGGCTCAAGCTTAAGTTTATCAAGCGACGAGAATACTTTTTTTGCGCAAAAAACAAACAAAAATACGACTTTATTCAACTAATCATTTCCTTCTCTGTGGGCCTCGAGTGAGTTCACGTAGTGATATTGCGCAAAGCTTCTGTGTTGCACGTCACACGCATGACCAGCGTCGGCCAATAGTGAGCCTACGTGTGACGTGCAAAACAAGAAGCGCTGCGCAATATCACTACGTGAACTGACTCGAGGCCCACAGAGAAGGAAATGATTAGTTCAATAAAGTCGTTATTTTTGTTTGTTTTTTGCGCACAAAAAGTATTCTCGTCGCTTGATAAACTTAAGATTGAGCCACTGTAGTCACTCGGACTATTTTAAATCTTCTCCAGTTCATTTCTTCTGTTTAGTCCGTCGAGGTCATGAACTAGTAGAAACTGAATTTGTAATTGTTATTCTGTAACACATATTTATGGGTGTATTCACACTTTTAGTGCTTGGTTCATTTGGTCCGGACAAAAAAAAACACAAAACATTTAACACCGGCATTTTTAACACCAAACCCTCAAGATACCGAACCGAAAGGCATTGGGATGCGTTCACAACCTGATTGGTCGGCTTTTATTACGTATATTTACTGACTGAACTTACCGAACATCCATAACAATCTTACATATTGCAGTAGCACCTAGATCCAGGGGGCGGAGTTGGATCCAGATCTAAGGGGTGGAGATGGGTAGGATTAGGGGTGGGGTTAGGGATCAGGGGGCGGAGATGGGTAGGTTTAGGTATATGTAAGGTGGGAGGAGTTGGATCTGGATCCAACTCCTCCCCCTGGATTTTGTGTTCTGCAGTGAGGACCATCTCACATATTGTAGCCACATATGATGCAGTGAGACCAGCTGAGAACTTGTGAAGAGCTTATAAAATAAGTAAAGGAGTCAAAACAGCGGCAGGAATCCCTCCGTCACACACACACACACACACACACACACACACACAGATCTGCTGCGAGGAGACGCGGTCATGATGCCTGTACCGAACTATGATGGACAACATCGCGACAATGATGAGAAAAAAACGGGGTATGCTTGAGCATTCTGTCCTTTTTAGGGGCGCATCTTGTGACATCATGTCCTGTTTTTGTTTCATTTACATGTCTTTGGTCCGTGTTGCATTCATATTTCATTTGAACTGCACTAGAGTTGGTTTGGGTCTCGGTTCGCTTGTTTGGTGTCTCCAGGGTTCAGATGGCACACATATTCAACTGAACCGCACTGACAGAGCAATCGCACCAGGGTTAGTTGTACCAAACATGCCGAGTGTGAACACAGCCTACGTGCCGCTCTCAGCAGTGTGGCCGTTGTTGGGATGTTCGCTTACAGTAAACCGCTGGTCAGTGGTCAGGTATTTTAAACGTCTTTTCACCCCAAAGCGAAGAATGAAAAAGAAAAACTTCACTGTGAGCACATCGTGAGTCTTTAAAGTTTCCTCTGTATGTAAGCAAATGTATTGTCGAAATACGGTAACGTTCTTTAATAATGTGAACCCAGATTACCCAGTGCGCAGCTTTGACGGCCGCAAGCGTATGATCCTCAGCACTATCTCCTGGATGGGTGGGAAGAACCCTTTCCTGGGAATCGCCTACATCACAGTGGGATCCGTGTGTTTCTTCCTGGGAGTGGTCCTGCTGATCATCCACCATAAATACGGCAACCGCAACAACAGCGCTGACATTCCCAATTAAACGCGGATCAGCACACTGACGTGAGACGCGCATATCATATGCAGGAAGATGCTCCTGTACACACAGGCGCCAGAAGGACTGCTTACAATGTTATTGTGTATGCACTGGCAGTTTTTAATGATCTGTTTTAAGCCTTTCTTTCATCCACACCAAAGCTTTACATTGGAAATCCTGATTCTGACACAGTTGATCTTTCTGCATTAGGTATTTTGTGGTGAGGAGGACAGTATGAAGGCACTGTGGAGTTACTGAAGGATGTGTAGTCGTACAGTAGGACTGTATCTGAGTGAATCCCACACACACATGTCCAGGTCATATTTTGCCCAAAAATCCAATGAAAAAGGTGGGGGAAAACATCATATGTTGCAAGACAAAGCACGTTGTATTGACTTTTTCCCCTAAAGATTCACCATGACATTTTACTTTGTAATTGTTATGTCATGATTTTGATTATATTCTCTTTACAACAATACAGTGATTTTATTAAGATCAGCATAACTACAGGCAAATTCTACCATGGTGCATTATTTATTTTTAATGACTTTTTTGCATTACAATAATGAGAACTTATTTGTCATGAATATACTATATTGTCAAAATGCAAAAAAAAAATATATATATATATTTACTTTTTTTTTTTTTTTTTTGAGGTTAAATATGACCAATCTTGACTGGCTTTGTGAGATTCATCCATTTGGATAAAGATATAATATACTACAATGATAATATGGTACAATCAAAACAGTATGGATTTTAATCAGTGATTTTTATACAAATTCAATATTAATGATAAGATAGTTTGTCATGCAGATCAGCAAGGATTGTTGCACTGTGTTATTTGAAATGCTAAACAGTAATGCTCAAAGCTAACGTGTTCAGTTTTTTAGTTTCTTCTCTGAAAAGCTTGTTCTGTGCAATGTGTATTTAAAAAGGAAATGTGTGTGTGTTTAGCAGCTGCTATGAAATCCTGTATCCAGCTCAGTTCTGTGTGTCTGTTGTTGGGCCAAAGTCGTGTCATTTACTGAAAAGAGTTGTGTGATAATAAACGACAAATGCATGAGAGATGTGCTGTGCTGCTTTTCCTGCCTCGGTCCTGTAAGCAAAGTACTGAGGAACTGATTACGTAATCAGATTCCAAATTTTTTTTTTTTTTTTACTCATAATCAGACTAGTTACTTTTTTTATTGATTAAATTAATACATATTATTCACAATAGCAGTAAATAAGAAAACTGAGAGGCCACACAGCATTTGACCACTGGATTTACATAAATCATTTCACTTTTGAGGAATGTTTTCTCATCACTGCATATCAAATCAACTCTTGAAACAGATTATTATTACTCAGTAAGTCATTTAACCATGTATTGCTATGTCTTTGGAAACATTTATTATAATTTTTGTTATTTTAAAATGATTTATTTAACATTCATTTGGGAAATCCTGACAATGTAATGTTTAATGCACTTCATGTTGCTGATACAAAGAATGGAATATATTTTCTTTCTCTTTGTATTTGTGTATCAATATGGTACTAACTCAATATGAGTTGGGTCAAAACAATTAATCTAAAAGTAGTAAATTACATTACCCAAAATGTGTAATGTAATAGAATACGTTACTAACTACAATTTTTGTCATGTAATTTGGAATCAGTAACTGACCATTAGTAAGTTATTTACCCAGCACTGCAAATTGGTGATCAAATGTCTGGTGTCTGGCCAGATTACAGTTTGCTGGATAATTGTTTTCTTTTGTCTTGATTTGGCAGTGACATGTACTTTACACCTGTGATTACTATACACTCTAAAAGAAAAAAAATACTGGGTTGTTCCAACCCAAATTTGGGTAAAATATGGACAAACCCAACCGTTAGAGGTTATGTTCGTCCTTATTTAAACCAAATTTGGGTTTAAACAACCAAGCATTCTTCTCCTAACGTTGTATACTGACTGAAGTGGGCGGAATAATGACAAAACAAAATCAGCAAGATGAGGTTTTATTCAATCAGAAGTGTAACAAACATACTTATCACTAATGGTAATAACGGTATTTAACCAAAAGCATTTTAATTGAACAACCAAAGGGTAAAAGGTCACTCGGCTACTCGAATCGTTTTTGAGTCATTTAATTGGAACAGACAGTCCGAACGAACCGATTCTCTAGAAAGAATCTAGCTAATTCGCTTCCTCGAATCGTTTTTGAGTCAATTGGAACGCATAGTCCGAACGAATCGATTCGACATAAAGAACCGGATCTCGTGGCTCTCCTGTCCAGCAGGAGGCAGTGATGCGCTGTTTATTCTGCGTCAGACGCGAGCTGAAGAAGGAAGTGACATTTTCAAGTGTCCTTGTGCTGGTGCGGCTTCCTGAACATTACGATCTGAAGGAGAAATCATTCATCACCATGTTTAGGCATTTAAGGGTGAGATTTAAGATCTTTATGTCATTTATCATTGCATTTATCTGGCGAAAGCGATTGAACATCTTCTCATAACACAGCCTGATTAGATTCGGCCAGAATTAGAAACACAGTTAGCCTAGTAGCAGCTCTCATGACCTCCTGCCCATTACTCAACATTATCAAGCATTTGTGGATATTTGAGTCTATTAACAAAATTACCGTGTAAGAAAAAAATACAAATACTGTATTAGTATATTGATATGTAAATCCATGTAATTACTTTCACCAATCTCTCTCAAACTCTATAAACCGGGAGTTTCCTGGAGAGATTTACGCTGTTGACGTTTATTATCATTATTAAATGATTAACTTATGTACGTGAGGGTTGTTATTGATATTTGAGACCTATGTGTGTGTAGTGTGTGTGTTTGAATTTTGAATCCTGGCAGATTTGTAACATCTTTAGTTGATTGGAACTTCTTAATTATTGCTATGATGTTAAAAATGGGGATTTCAATTCTTTAGCTATTTTCTTACCGCCACTTTCTATTTTGTGATGCTCAACAATCTTTTGATGCACATCAGAACTATATTCTTTGGTTTTACTCATTGTGATGGATGATTAAGGGATTTTGGCCTTTGTGTTTCCTCATATTTAAACTCATGTGAAACAAGAAGTCATGGCTAGACAATGTCATGTTCATCCTGGTGTGCTTAAATAAAGTAAATATTAATGGGAATATACTTCAGAGATGTTTTACCCGTAAAAAATTCTAGGGTTGCCAATAATTGTGGCCAGCGTGATTTGGAGAAAAACATTTATTTCATAATGTGATTTCCCCCACTTTCATTTCTTTTACTTCAATGAAAGGTTAGATTTTTTTTTGTGCAAATTCTTTGAATGAAAGATCAAAAGGATAAACAATGCAGATAATTTTTTTTCCAGCCATTTTTGATCATATTTATCAGGGGTGCCATTAATTCTGACCACAATTGTATTTGTGTGTATATGGATATGTACTATATACTGTATATGACCAGTGGGAACGGATGAACAGAGGTTTAGTGCGCAGAAGTGTTTTTCTCATTTATGGAAGCTTGTTTCCGCCATGTAATAATAATAAAACAAAAAAAAGGTAATTGTGACTTTTTAATCTCACAATTCTGGCTTTTTTTCTCAGAATTGAGGTTACATTTCTTGATGCAGTTTTTTCCCTTGAATTCTGAATTTCTAGGTATATTTATTTATAGATAGAAACATTATAGAAGTTTTTTTTGTGAGACAAAAACTTTAAATTTCACGGAAAAAGACATCTGAATTGTGAGATAAAGTCACTTTTATTTGTTATTCTGTGGTGGAAACGATCTTCTACGCTCTTTAGATAGTTGTCCCTTTGACATCCATCGCAGTAACACACGTTTGTTGTCGTCCTCCAGACCCTGCAGCAGTTCTCCAGGAGGACCGTGTCCAGTAGCGCACCCCGACAGGTGGAGAATAAAGTCCCGGGAAAGCAGAAGATGTTTCAAGTTAGTTCTGATCTAATCCAACTGGACATTTAGTCAAATCCTAAGATTTCACAGGTTTAGTTACTGCTTCTTTTTATTCCTCTCTGGCACTCGCTAATGGTAATGTAAAAGTTAAGATTGTAATTTGTTCCCAGGTTCTGGACTGATATTGTGGATGAACAGATAAGTACGAAATGATTCGCTAGTAGGGTTCACTTGTATAGTACGCTGTATATTACTAATCACTGCATGTGTCATAATACTGAAATATTATGAAGTGTCAAATTAAACGAGCAGTTTAAAGCTTCACTTATTCTATAACTGCGATTTCACTGGCTTTAATGCTGGATCATTCTGCTTACGGCAGTCTGGCGCTAAGTTGAGGGATGGCTGTTATATTATACTGATATATTATAATTCTTCTTCTTTAAATTGTTGCTATGTGACTGAGATCAATCTTGAATGTTCAGTTTGTGTTGGTGGTCTCGCTTACAGAAGTAAAATTGAGCAAAATAAGTTATTAAAGGAGATCTGTAGCATTATTCTTACTTCCTAAAGTGGAAAATCAGAATTAGGCTTTTCTTCTTTTAACTGTTTTTATGCTTTACACTTGTGTCCCCCTCTAAAGTAAGTGTTGACGTATCAAATGCTAATATGTAATTTCTGCTTCTTTCAGGAAGACAATGGCGTGCCGATTCATTTGAAGGGAGGCGTTACAGATGGTCTCTTGTACAGGGCGACTATGGCCCTTACTGTCTTTGGTAAGCTTTATATATTCGGCTGTTATTTGTGCTTTATTTTATTGTGTCTTTTATCTGGAAAACCATTGACATGGGACGAGGTCATAATGAAGGCACACAACATTAACGGTTTAATCTTTTAAAATATAATCAAATTAATTTAACATTTCCTTTCAATTTTTTTGGCAAGCAAAGTGCTACACAACTGAGGTTTACTGGTAAAATTTTAAAATGGAAGATGAATTGTGTAATATAAAAAAATATATATATATTTTTTTAAATAATTGTATTATTTTTGGAGAATGTTTTTGTGGGCCCTTCTTCCATACGTCTACATCATGATGGCTGTCATGCTCCAAAACGAAACCACATAAAAGTAGTTATTGCATATTGTGCTTTATCCCAGGTTATGTGATCTGAAGAAATGTGTATTAAACGATTTTAAATCACGACGTGGAGGCAAAGAACCACCTGACGTGAAGCGGAGTGCATTAAAATGGTTTAATGCACAGCTAGCTGTGGATTATCCCGCTTATCCCATGGCAATTTGCCAGCATTGACAATTTACAGCTGTATATGCAATATTTGACCGGAAGGATAAAACTGACGGTTATTTTGGTCAGTTTCGACTCGTTAGATCCAGCATTTTGCCCGCTTTGAATCAAACGCAAAGATAAAGTAGTGCGTAAGATTACATTTATTTAAATTAATGAATTATAGCATTTATTTGAATTCATTATCGCGAGAGTGAGATGAGAAATGTGTGTGTAAATTACCTGAGTCTGTTCAGCATCTCTCTCTATTAACAACAAAACTGTCAGTTTAAATAACTTCAAAACCAGCGATGTTGCCCTCGCTCAATGCTGAGAAATTAAATGTGGCGATTCAGCTATTTTATTAATAAATGTCGTGGGGCAGCGTTAAGTTTCTGTGCAGTACGATGATGATCTGAGTGACGTATGTGTGCGCTTCAATGAAAGCAGTGCATTAATATGGAACGGTGATCAAACTTGACTTTGAACTACCTGTGCATTAAACCTTTATTGCACACCTTCCAGCCAATCAGAATCGAGTATTCAGACAGTCCATGGTATATGTGAATATACACCCATGTTCGCATCCAGATTCCAAACTGGCAAGCCAGTGGCATAGTTATCATTGATGCTAAAATGACATTGGTTCTTATGATTATTTTTGAATTACAGAATGCTAATGCAAATGAGGCATAAGGGAAGATTATCAGTGAACGTTTTAATTTTGGTCTCTTCCTCACACAAAACCATCATATCACTTCATTAGACTTAGAATATAGCACACACAATGTTGAAAGGGCTGGGTTTTTTTTTTTTTTTTTTTAGTTGGTGAAAAATGACAGCATATTGGTTTGGAGACAATTTTTTTAAATGTATTTATTTATTCATTAAAGATGAGCTGTTCCGAGAGTACATATAGTTATCATTCTGATTTGTGTATATAATTGAGAAACATGATCAAATGGTCTAAGTATTCTATACTATTCATTGTCTGTCTTTACGGGTCGTTCAGGGTTGTTGGTTGTTTGTCATGATGTTTTGTACTTTGTACTCTTTCCAGTGTACAACATGAACTGAATATGTATTTGTTTTCCTCTATAAACAACAACTCTTCTTCTCTCCTCAGGGTGCGGTTATGTGGTGTATTCATTGCTCGACGCAGCACTGCCCAAGAAGAAGAATTGAACATGCCTCTCTATTCATGTGTCTGAGTTGTAAAGATCTCTAATCCTCAGAATTATGTCTTGTCATTTATTTTGAGTACATTGGATTCATATTTATTGATTGTACTATAAAGCACAATCATTATGTAATAAAACGTTCCACTGTACTGAGTCTTTGTGTTTTAAGTTCTGCTCTCAACTACATTTTCACTGCATTTCATTAGTTTTAAAGTCGGATAAAGCAGAATCTTTTCTTCCGTATCGTGACATACCCGAGTGTAACGGATTATCGAAAAAGAAAGCATGTTGGGTGGAGACTTGGTTCAATGAATCTGTTGTTGATTGGATGTTGACATGTGGGCTTGTCCCTTAAAAGTGGAGTCAGATGGAGGTGAGCTTGCAGGGGCAGAGTTTAACCGGACTAAATGATTGGAGAAGTCCTGCATACATCACCAGAAAGAAATCTGTCATTTTCAACGGAAGATCCAATGATATTTTAAGGTAAAAAGAAAAAAATGAAACCTATGCATGGACTATTTTGTTTACAATAAGATATATGGCATATATTTAGAAAATAGTGTGATTTTTAATATATATATATATATTATACATTTACATTGCGAAACTGTAATCTTGATCCCATTCTTTGCTGAACTGAAGCATAAGTGTTAAAAACACACTTCATAATATGTCTGATAATTAGCCATACACTAAAAAATGTTTTTTTTCATGATTTGTTGTCACAACTTTTTGTCTTTAGTCAAATCAACTTTAATAATGTGGTTCAGATAACAATATTTTGAATTTCTTTTTATTAAACCAATCTCCTTTCTTGTAATAACTCAAATTTTTCATTTAAATGAACTCAAAATTTTAAGGTAACCAAGTGATCTATTTAAGTTAAACCAACAATATTTTTTTTTACAGTATGTATGCTGTGTGTTATATGATAATTCTGTTATGTAGAAATATAGCATGCTAATAGTATGGATTGCAACAGTTCTCTATGGAAAATAGTAGCCAACAAATAAGCCAAAGCTTGCTTAAATGAACAGGCTGAGGTACATTCCTACAGTTTGGTGGATTTTGGACAGTGCTGGTTTGTTTAAAAAACAAGCTAAAATTTAATTATTTTTTTGTTTTGAGGGAGAAAATGTCTGTCCCATAAAAACACACTTGTCAAGCTTAGGCTAGCGGAAGATTAACATTTAGGAAGAATTTGAATAGATATACAAAATCTATTTAAAAAAAGAAATATTTTGACACCAATGCAACAGGGTGAATGTGTTGCTAACATAACTAAAAAAGGGCTAGAAAACAGGACTAAAAAGTATAAAAAAAGAAAATGTTTATATCTATCTTTGTTCTTGGAGTTGCTTTCCCTCCAAGGAATGGTCACTTCTAGCAAGTCATGTGATTTAAAGCATACGCTTAAATGTAGCGTGTAGGCAATGTTTTCCATAAACACTTTTTAAAAAATTCTGATTGAAACTCTTCAGATCCTGATAGCAATCAATAATAAAAGTGGTCTAATTATATATATATATATATATATATATATATATATATATATATATATATATATATATATATATATATATATATATATATAAATTTACATATATCTTCTGTGGACGTCTCTGGACCAAAAAAAATTTCATCCAATCATTGAATTCACTCTGAATGCAATGATAGGATGACCCGTCTGCAAACGTAAGTGTTTGCATAACTCCTTGCACTTGTTAATGTGTGGCTTTGAAGACGCTCTGAAGGGAGGGTGGGATCTCATGCTTTCGAAGCCAACTTGCTATTGCTAGCCTCTCCGAAATTGCCTACCTTAAAAGGGTTTGTTCACCCAAAAATAAAAATTCTGTCATCATTTACTCACCCACATCTCGTTTCTCAACCTTAAGACTTTTGTTCATCTTTGGAACTCAAATGAAGATCTTTTTAATGAAATCTGAGCGATTTCTTTCTCTCCATTTACAGTCTACGCAACTACCCTTCAATAAGTTCATAAATAAATCATAAAACGTACTCGGTTACTAACGTAACCTCGGTTCTCTCTAGAGAGGGAACGAGTACTGCGTAATAGCTTTACGCTAGGGGAAAAACTCTTTTCCACGAGATATTGAAGCCAAAAATTATCCTTAATTTTTTATTAATGTAAAACGCTTTGCAGCAGCAAGCAGACATAGGCGAAACAGCTCGCGCGCCTATTGGCTGCTCTTGCGGCAAATGCAGCACCCTATCGAGAGAGACTCTGCGTGACGTAATGACCAATGGGGGCAATTCGCGCCCATATCGTCACGTCCCGCCAGAAAGGGCGTGGTCTCACCCTATAAATATGCTCGTTAGGCTGGTACAAGCTGATTTTTATCGCTGAAGCGAACCAGAGTGTATTCCAAGCACGGCAAGATACGCAGTACTCGTTCCCTCTCTAGAGAGAACCGAGGTTACGTTAGTAACCGAGTACGTTCTCTTACGAGAGTATCTCTCGTACTGCGTAATAGCTTTACGCTAGGGGAACACAATGCAACATGCCGTGCGTACAGGGATCCAACACCAAAGTCCCAAAGGGCTCATGTAGTGCATAATCACCATAAACTCACATAGAGTGGAGGAAGAGAGGCTGGAAGCGTCATTCCCTATAAAAAAGCACCCAGCGGGGCTATCATATGACAATAAAACGCGCAGCCAGGGTGAAAGCTTTCAGCCTGATCTGGGTGGCCATACGTGTGTCAACACTCATGGGGCTGCAGTAAACTCAGCATCTGGGCCGCACAGCGGGGCAGATAGCACTGAATTTTAGACCGCCAAAAGCTTAGCTTGTAAGGCGGGTACCTCCAGGTTATAGTATTTTATAAATGTAGACGGCGAGGCCCAGCCCGCGGCCGTACAGATATCTTGCAGGGAAACCCCGCTCGACCAAGTCCACGAAGAGGCCACGCCTCTCGTGGAGTGCGCTCTGACACCCAAGGGGCACTGTAGGCCCTTTGCAGAGTAAGCGAGCGCAATGGCATCCACTATCCATCTGGATAGGCTCTGTTTTGAGGCGGCGAGTCCCTTGGAACGCCCGCCAAACAAAACGAAAAGCTGCTCCGTCTGTCTGAAAACAGACGAGCGTGACACATAAGCTCTCAATGCCCTGACGGGGCAAAGGAGACTCGCGTCCTCCTCCTCACTGAGAACCGGAAGGGCGGACAGGGAAATTACCTGGGCCCTAAACGGTGTATTGAGGGATTTCGGGACATACCCGTGCTTAGGTTTGAGAATGACCTTCGAGTCATTAGGCCCAAACTCCATACACGACGCGCTTACTGAAAGCGCCTGCAAGTCCCCTATGCGCTTCACTGAAGCGAGAGCCATGAGAAACACTGTTTTGAACGACAGGTGTTTCATGTCCACCAGCTGGATTGGCTCGAACGGGGCGCCTTTCATGGCCTCCAGGACCGTGGAAAGGTCCCACGTCGGGACTGAAGGGGGCCTGGGAGGGTTCAGCCTCCGAGCTCCCCCAAGGAAACGCACGACTAAGTCGTTTTTCCCCAGCGACTGGCCAGACACCGGTTTTGCAAACGTTGCTATGGCCGCCACATATACTTTGAGCGTGGATGGGGTCCTGCCCTTATCCAGTAGCTCTTGAAGGAAGGAAAGCACTTCCGAAACCCCGCATTCCACATGTGAAAAGCTCTGGGCTTGACACCATGCAGAGAAAACAGACCATTTCGAGGAGTAGAGCCGCCTGGTAGACGGAGCTCTAGCCTGCGCGATCGTGTTTAACACTCCTTCTGGGAGGCTAGCGGGTACCCGTTGATGGCCCTGCGTGCAGGGACCACAACTCCGGGCGAGGGTGCCAAATCGAGCCCTCCGCCTGAGAGAGGAGGTCTCTCCTCAATGGTACAGGCCATGGGGCAGTGCTGGTCAGCTGCATCAGGGCAGGGAACCACGTCTGGTTTGTCCAGAGCGGAGCTACGAGCAGCACTGGGCATCCGTTCTCCCTGATTCGTTCCAACACCTGAGGCAGGAGCGAGACAGGAAGAAAAGCATATAGGGGGCAGCGGGGCCAAACATGAGCCAGCGCGTCCTTGCTTTTCGAGAAAAACTCCGGGCAATGAGCGTTTTCGTGGGACGCGAATAGGTCCACCTGTGCTCTGCCGAACGTTTTCCACAGCAGCTGGACCGTCTGCGGGTGCAGCGACCATTCCCCTGCTGGAACATTGTTCCTGGACAGTCTGTCTGGTCCCACATTCAGGTGACCAGGCACGTGCGCTGCTCTCAGTGAGAGCAGGTTGTGCTGAGCCCAGACCAGGAGGCGTTCCGTCAGCCTGTGAAGGTTTCGTGACCTGACGCCGCCCTGGCGATTTATGTATGCCACCACTGACATGTTGTCCGACCGGACCAAGACGTGGTGGCCTGTTACCTGGGGACAAAAACGCCGTAGCGCTTTGTCGACTGCTATCATCTCCAAGCAGTTTATGTGAAGGAGCTTTTCCCGTTCTGACCACAGGCCAGCTAGCGGTCTGCCCTCGAGCAGCGCTCCCCACCCCGAGGTGGAGGCGTCCGTAGACACCACCTTCACACTCGAAGCGGTCCCCAGACTCACACCTGACTGATACCAGTCGGTTATTTTCCAAGGTTCCAGAGCTGAAACACACTGTAGGTTGACCCTGAGGCGAAACAGACCCGCTGTCCATGCCCTGGGTGGAACCCGCGCTTTCAGCCACATCTGCAGTGGGCGCATGCGAAGCAGGCCCCACTGGAGTACAGAGGCCGCTGAGGCCATCAGCCCCAGCATTTTCTGAAACCTTTTGAGCGGAACTATCGAGCCGTGGCGGAAGGATTTCGCGACGCGCTGAATATTTAGTCCGCGCTCTGGTGACAGGCGTGCCGTCATGGATAGCGAGTCTAACACTGTTCCCAGAAAGGAAATTTTCTGACTGGGAGACAGTGAGCTCTTCGCCCAATTGACTGTGAGGCCCAGCTCCTCGAGGTGCTCGAGTAATGCGGCCCTGTGTTCTATGAGCTCCGATCGTGATCGAGCTAGAATCAGCCAATCGTCCCAGTAGTTCAGGACTCGCATGCCCTGAAGTCTCAGGGGTGCGAGCGCCGCGTCCATGCACTTCGTGAATGTACGAGGTGCTAGGGACAGGCCGAATGGCAGGACTGT